GAGGTGCTCCGATGCAGTGACATGTATGCAGTGGACTGCATAGTTCTGATGCGACACCTAGGTGGCTGGGTATATGAGCGGTGTGAATTCGACGAGGATGTCCAAAATTTCTCATGTCCAACTTAGTGCAGGGATGCGGCGCGTGGGAAAACCGGAGCTACATTATCAGGACATGATTCAGGCGAGTTTATCACGAACTAATGTTTATTTAACGTGTTGGGAATCGATGGAAGTGATCGACGCCGATTGAGAGAGCATACCAAGAAGGCGATTGCCGAGGAGCAGGAAAAGACGCTGTTGCACGGAACCGACATTTGCCAATGGAGCCTACCCCATCGACGTCTAGCACATGGTGCTGTAGCACTTTTACTCTGGTGTGCTTGAGCCAAACTGGCCTGCTAAGTCATCAGCGGGGCCAGCATCCAAAAGGCGACGAGTCAGCATTGGTGCAGTGTTTGCAAGTTCGCTAGGTCCGCTTCCGTTCGATTTACTAATCCAGGCCAATTAGGCGGTTGATGCAGTACTTGTACTATATCATCGTTACAGTTGGTCTGAACGTGTGTATGCGTATTGACTTTCTTGCATTTCAGGTGTTGGCTGTTGATTGGTATCCCTGGTGTGGCTGCGCTTGATGTGAATGTTGACAAGGTGCCTGCCAGGTCATGCGACAATGTGGCAACCTTTAGAAGCAGATTCTCCAGTTGACCTAGCTACCATAATCTCTATATTCACATGGAAAAATCCCTTGAGTTATTCCAAGTGGGGCCAAAAAACATCTTAACCCCAATGTTTTCAAAGCTAGGCTTTGACCTCTACCATCCGCCAGAATGTCACTACAGGAAATGCATACTCCAATATTCCACCTGTGCATGTCGCCCATGTAAGAGATGGATACTTATGTGTAAATTGATCTGTGCCCCTCTAGATGCTGTTTCTCTCATCAAGAGAAATGTACGTATTATTATTATTATTATTATTATTACCTGTCTATTAGCCTATACCATTGATCAGACCACATAGTTGGACTGCACCTCGAAACACCGAGGAATATAACATTTATCATTTATCATTTATATACAGGTGCCATGGGACTAGGAAAAGTTGCTTGGGGGGGGGAGGTGCACGGTCCTGGTGACCTTTATAGGCTCAAATCGTGGTTCCGCGCATCCAGTGTGGAACGGGCTACGGCCCAACCACCGCCTTGTGTGCGTCTGGTACGCTTGGTTCTCCAATTTGACTGACTGAAATATTGCTACTGTGCATGTTGAAGGAGTGTGAGCCGGTTTCGTTGATGAGACGTGGCTCCCATTCACCTGCCACGCGCTCTTATTGCTTCGGCTTTACAATGAATATGGGTTGTGTGGATGGAACTGTGGGTGGTGCAGTGCAAATCACCTACGTAGGTACGGGCATCCTGTGGCTGTCTATGGAGGCCGCAGTGACACGCAAGTCAGAAATCGGGTGCCACCAACAATGTAAGGAAGCAAGTAGGTACTACATGGTATTACGGCACTTACTTCCTATGTATAACTTCTCACAGTAACTGTTCTAATTGCGGACGTTTTCAACCTCTTGATTTCCTCACATGGCAACTGCCGAGTTTTCCCCAGCCGAAAATTATGTTCTGCAATATATTTGGTCTGTCCACTGCTTGCTTACTAAATGCTCCATTGAAATCCGTGGTGCAACCGTTCATGCTTCCGAATTGCAAGTTCTCTGCTTTGAGTTCGACTTCTCACTTCAACCCACGACTGGGTGTTCTTATAGTGTCTCACCCGACGCGCAGTTACCTGATGTCACCTGACAGTGGAATATCAGTATAGAGTATTGCTGTTTGTTTCTTTAGGGTTTTTTGTTGCGGGCACGTCAAATATTCCCGCGAAAACACGCCAGAAACCCCGGCAGAATGGCTGTGGAAACCGAGGTCCAATTCCTCCCCACAACGCAGCAGTGCTCAGCCACTCCGAGACGCGCCCCAACTGCGCACCTTTCGACAATGCTCATTCGCAAACTACCACCTCTGCGTGTTGACTGTTTTCCCTAACTTAATAGTCCATAGCACTGGCTGTGATTGCCCTTTGTTGGTCGTAAAAGAGCCTACAGAGGACCATTTGCCTTTTCTTTCTCTTCGCCTCAGTTGGGAGTCGGTCGGGTCACGTGCTTGCGTGTGAGTCGTTAGCTGGCCAGCCTTCGCGTCTAAGTCATTAGCGCGCGTCTATCGTACCCCCCCTCTCATTCCGAAGGCTCAACGTCTATCCCAACCCGTGCGGCTAGGATCGTTCACACGTTCGCTCAATTTTCCGTCTCACCGGATAAGCTAGCGTCATCAGGTCAGCGCAACTCCGTTCGAGTGGCCAGCGTTACAAGTCGTCATCGTAGGCGTGCTCCAACCGTGCCAGCGACAATCTTATCAGGCAATCATAACAGAGGCGGCGTCCCCTCAATTATAACATTTTTAATGTTTTCTCTTATGTAGCGTTCTATTCTCCCTTTACTGGATCGGGCCAGGCGATGCAAGAATAAATCAGATCGTGTGTACCTGTGCGTAGGAATGTTGGCTGGCGGTTTATCACGACACACACACACACTAGATCACATTGTTTGGTGCGATGTTCTTGTGATCAGCGCTCCCCAGCTCTCCCTGGGTCCCGTCATGGCAACGATAGCGCGGCTGTAGTGCCAACAGGATCACGCGGCTCGTCGCTGTCTCTGTGTGACGGACGCAATTATAACGTCGTGCCTATCTTATTGAATTCATCTTTACGTGCTCCCCTTCCGTAAAGCACACGCTGTCATCTTGCATCGACATGACACTAGTTTGTGTGAGTTGGTTTCACAGTGATTCAACAGTGAACTTGAGCTTTTAAAGGAACATTGGGTTAAAGGTGGCCCAATATTAAATTTTGCTTGGGCGGCAGGCAACGAAAGGGCATACGAGATTACGATACATGCTAAAACTCTTTTCCATTCAGTATCTTTTCATTTTAAAATATCAAATTTGATCAGTGGGGCACGGTTAAATTTCCAGAGAATGCACTTCTGCGTGACACCATATGTTCTCTACGATTCACTGGTCATCGTCATCATCAACAGTGTATCGAAACATTGTACCGTATCGTAGTTATCATGCAGCCACCCTGATGATGAATGAATGAGAAGCGAATGCGAGGGACCTCTTTTCTTTGTGGAGACTGAGCTGCATCCGCGTCCCCGCAGCTTTCACTATCATGCGCCATAATCAACCTCAGGTGAAAGACGGCTCTGCATATGACTATCACAGTTTAGCACTTGCAGAAGTAGCGCTCAGTGGCTGACTCGTAACGAAGTATCGCAAAGCAAAACACGTCAGGCAAACGGAAGGCAAACTGTATTCTAACCAGCATGTTGTACAAGCATCGATCCAGAATTCTAAATTTGGCCAATCGATGTGTGGGCGAGTGGTGTACTGACACGCCAGCAGATGTAGGCCACGAATAGGAAAGACTCAGTACATTGGCATTGAGGATGTCACAAGGACACACTTCCAACAAGTTGTTTAATCCAGAAGCGGTAACAAACGCGCCAGCCACGCTCTGTGTCGTGTGCTGTCTCGAGCCACTCACCTTATGGGTCGTTCGGACCCCAGTTTGGCTGCTAAAGCAGATAAAGGGCATCTAGTCAACTACTTTCATTACCATACCCGCGATTTCCGCGCTCGTATTTTATGCCGTTCGCATGCTAGGAAACACCTTAATCAACACGATTTGTTCAACCATATCGGCCAATCCAGCGAACATATTACCGAATATGCACGCGTAATGAAGATGAAAGTCTGGAAGCCTCGGTAAAGGTCCGTTTGCTTATTGTGCTTAGTGCTACGCTTTCTGCACTATTCATGGTAACGGGAACTTCGCAGGTCTGAATATAACGTCAAGATGGACAGAAGTAGGTAACTGTAGCGACCTTCGACCAACCCATCGGCCTCAGTATACTCTGAGCGGCCTTACTTTCACCGACCTTTGATAACTGTCCTAACGGTGGATATCTGATGCGTGCTACGTTTTCATTGGCTCTCAGACCTTATTAGCAACGAGAACGCGTTACTCCATCCGATGAGTAATCACTTGCATATAGTCAGTCAGCTGGAAAGCCTGGTACTAGATTGTGATCGATATCGTAAAGTACATGACTTCACACTCACGCTAACTGCCCGAACTGGCTACGACATTATAAGCTGTTCTAACTGTAGGCTGCATCCACATCACCACCATAAATTACTGGGCGGCTCGCACTAGCGTTCAGGGTTCCCATGAATTTTTCCCCCTTATCGTATTTCTGAAATCGTCAGTTTTGGCTATATATGCATCAGTTCGGCAGTTCGGAGCCTTCTGCCTTACTCACTTCGGCCGTTTTGGTTCAGGATACTGCTGATCTGTTGTCGACTTCGCTGCTGTTTTTTTTCTAGTATGATAAGAATTCGGGGCCTTTTCTTGGTTTATTCTTGGTCTTCCGAGTCGCATTTTGGGCCGATGCGTTGCTTCCTTTTCTAGACCTGCTCCGCTAGAACTAGCGCAAGTGAAACCTGTTCCACAGCATGCTTCTTTGAGGACCAGTTCATACTGGTCGCTGGGTTTGTAAAGCACAGGAAGCCACATTTACACGCCTTTTGCACCATAGGACCTTGTTTGAAGCCACTCACCTTCTCCATTGCAGCGTTTTTGTTGTCTGGAGAGTTTTAAGAGCTCTCATCTTCACGTTTTCCTCATCCCTATATCATCTCTTCATCTTGTCATGTGTGTTTGGATTTTCCTGTGTTCATCCTCCACGTTGAATTCGTGGAGTATTTCGCTGACAATGTGTTCTTCTCTGTTGCTGAAGCGACTGCCAGGAAGCCCGCTTAGACCAGTGAACAATACTGCATCCTTATCGCCATTCCGCACCATCAACATTATCAACTCTAACTCAACCCGGACAATTTGTTAAAAACGTACTACTTTCAATTTCTTTCCATTTACCTATAGCCCCCCATAATTGGCCTCCACTTCCATCATGGTGTCCATGCAAGCCATGCGTGCGTCAAGACTTTGAAACAGACATCCCTGCCGATTGTCGTTGGTTGGCCAAAATGGGATACGGAATTTGGTTGGCCTACGTGCTCGTACTGTTGATCAACATGGGCGGGACACTTAGCTACTTCATTGTGGGGCACTCGTCTGTTGAGGGCCCGCTGTTTGGTGCTTCCATCCTGTTGTTTCTTGTGATGCCACCGGCGAGTTTCTTTGGATGGCACCGACCACTTTACAAGGCTCTTCGGTACGTCTGACTGCATTACACACGACGATTTGATCCGTTCCTGTTTGCGTTTGTTGTCCAACCTGATGTTTACTCGTTGTCTGTTTCTGCTTAGACACACCATAGGTTTGCTCATAACTCCTGTGTTGAACAGTACATGAGAAAAGGCTCTACGTTGTTGGCTTACCACTTGTCTGTAGAGTGCTTTCAAAGAACCACATCGCTCTCCAACATAATCACACATTATGGACCCGATGGGGCCAAATAAATAGGCTTCCTGGTTTGACTCAATTGTTAGACCTACAGTCGCATACGGCCAATGGCTAGCTGGTACAAAGTACATGATTTTCTTTGGATTTGGATTCATCTAAAGCAGCTGTGGGGTTATGGATTTTGGATACTTCCTCGGTGCTCACTTATCTAAATGGGACGCGAAATGCACTTGTACTTTCAATAATCTCTCATCACAATCTGAACATACATTTTCTGTCTCACTTCTCGAATGCGCTTGACGCAAGAAAAGTTCACAAAGTCCTATTTACCTGATTAAAAGTGTATTGGGAAGATTGTCGTTTTATCAACCACAGATACTACTTTGCTCCTTTTCACACTGTATTTTCTAGAGGCTATTGTGAACCATAAAGCTTCGGCTGATCTTCTCCTTTCCCTACCCTTCGAGTAGTACTCATTGCCAGTTGACACAACTTCCATTCACTTCCCTACCGACCTTATTTTCCTGCGACAACAAACGCGCCTCTGAGCAGCTGTAACCTATTGTCACGATCCGTTTCTTCACTTCCACCGTCTAGCCGTCCCCATTTGCGATCAAAATCATGGGAAACTGGTTCGATCGCTGTGATGAACGCTACTCATTATGTAGCATACCACTTTCATCGTTCATTGTCTGTGGTCCTGCAACCTTTCGCATTATCCCTTCGAGTTTTTCCCCACTCTTTATTTGTTTTGGTGTCACAGGTCGGACAGCTCTGTCAACTATGTCATTTTCTTCATTCTATTCGCCGCTCAAGTGATCATTATTCTCATCCAATGTTTGGGCATCGACTACCTTGGTTCTTGGTGAGTCTCCACATCCATCATCACCTGCGCTTGATTCTCCACTGCTTTTGCTTTGCGTATGCGTTTGATCGATTTGTGATGTCAAGTGTGTCTGTGATACGTGCATCAGGCGTGGCGCAACGCATTCAAGCCAACTGCGGCATATGCCTGCATATTCGCGGAATGGTGCCAAGGGTGTGTCGAATAACAATCCACAGATTACTTGCTCTCCAATTTTAGCAGTTACATCAGTTAAGCGCGACATGCTTCCATGACCCAACGCATCAGATTTTGTCAATGTCGGTTTTCTGAGCTATCGATTGAACCGTTACTTACGCCTAGTTGCTCAACCTCTACGCAGTACATGCTGAAACAATGCTCAAAACATCAGTGCCTGCGAATATCGACCTCTGTGTGTGCGTCACTAATCGCCTACCGCGTGATACGCACATGTGGTTTGGTTCTGGCACTCGGCTGTCACCTGAACACAGAATATGCTCTCTTCGTGATTGTTTTCAACTGCATGCACACTTCATGCTCAAGCATGTTGCTTCATGTTTCCAATTATTTCATACTCTAGGTGAATGACCACTTGTTTATGAATTGGTTGTTGTGTATCGGTGAGCACTGTTGTTACACAGACATTTACTGGTCAATGCGGCTTTTGTCTAAATCCCAGAGCGGTTGTGCCTGTTTCCTGTCCGCGTCGTTTGGCAGGTGACCTAAATCCAACTTGTGTCTTCACCTCGCGTCCATCAAACGTGAAGCTTTCAGTGCTGATGACGTCATACTTCAGTCGGTTACACGGTTACTCGTGTCGCCACACTACAAAGACAGTGGCCCTAAGGTACTGACACTCACGGTAGTCACAACAGATGGCGGCGAAATTAATCCGCAGCTGGCAGATACTACGCAACACACTTCCTTCGGAACTACTGACTGAAGACAGCAGTTAGATAACCGTAGCCACTCACTGTCCTCGCGGTAACGACAACACACACACACACACAAACACTATACACGTTAGCTAGAGAAGCGAAGCACCTCAGCTACTTTGCCGCAATGCCAAAAGCAAAAATGGAATAAAATGCAACAGGTGCAAGCCAGCTGAGCTACCAGTAACGGATGGGCATCGTTCCGGTAAGCTACCTGCCGGCTACTATGCAGCAGGAAAAAAATAATTTACTATGCAAAGTTATAAAATGCTAAATAATGAGATCGTGGTTGGAGGGGGAGGCTAAGAGGGATGGGGTGGGACAAAGAAACTCACAGCACGAACGCCATTGAGGTCGGCTCCTAGCCATATCAACAAGTGTATCCAGCCAAACGTGTTCATCGTCTTTCGGACCCCAACTAGGGAGCCGAGACGCTCCAACTGAGGCCAGCTTCGAAGTGAAGGCCTTCATTCCTCTCGACCAAGTCATCGCTTGGCCACCCCTCCTCTTCTTCCATCCACACCCCCGGTGCGCAAACAACGCACGTCGCGGGAGTCGGTGGGCTGGCATGCGTAACACGTGGCCGAGCCATCGGAGCCTGCTGCGTGAAATAACGGTGCTGAGCGGTTCATTTCCTTTTCCTCTGCCGTAAACAAAGTGTCGAACACGCTCGTTGCTCACGCGGTGTTCCCACCAGAAGTGAGCTAAATTGCGAACGCACCGGTTGTCGAACGTAACTAGCCTCTTTATGCCCGCTGATCTAAGAGGCCAGATTTCACAACGTACGGTAGGGTCGAACATACTGCTGCATTGCATACTCTATCCTTCAGGGCGAGGGTGATGTCGCTCCGGCGCCATAAGTGGCAAAGGTTAGCAAAAGCGCTCTGAGCTTTTGCTATACGGTTCGTGATCTCATCTTCAATCCCACGGGTGCTGATACAACTTCACAGGTAGTTGAATTTTTGAGCGGCTTCTAGATGATCCCCGCCGAGGGTCGGCGAAGGAGGCGATCCATTGCAATCTTGGAGGAACGCTTTGTACTTCGCTGGTTCAAAGCAAAGGCAGAAGCGGCTGACAGCCAGTGCTAATCTGTCCAGTGCCGCTTGGCACGTTTGTGAGCTGTCACAGATTAGGGCAATATTGTATGCAAACTCCACATCAAGAAGTCGTTCACCTGAGAGCAGATCCACACCTAATTCGTGTCCTGTGAACGCGATTTCCATGACTTCGTCATTGGCGAAGCTGAAGAGGAAAGGTGACAGCGGGCATCGTTGTCTCACACCGTTGGAGATATTAAAGGGTGACGACAGCTTGCCGTAAGCTCTCAGTCTGCCTGAGCTAAGCGCATATAATGATCGGATAATACATATTTCTCAGGTACACCTTTCTTGAGTAGACAGCCCCGAATCGAATGCTCCTTTGATATCAAGGAACAGGACAATAGTGGGCCGCCACTATATGTGACGGTGCTCCAACAACTTACGCAAGCTGACGATGTGGTCAATGCAGTCACGACCTGGACGAAACCCGGCTTACTCTTCACGGATATGCCTTTCACAAGTGGCAGTCAGTCTGTGAAGAACGACAGAGGCAAGCAATTTGGAGGCGATGGAGATCAGACTGATTCCTCTATGGTTGCTGCATTCCGATCGTGAGCCTCCCATGAAAATTGGGACTATGACGGAGCGGCTCCAGTTGTTTGGGACAGTCTCCTGCTCCCACAGTTCCACTAGTAAATCATCCACAAAGCAGGTCCCCCGAATTTGAAGAGGGCTGGAGGCAGGTCATCTGGTCCCGCGGCTTTATTTAACTTCGACAGTGCGATCTCACGTTCGACTTTTGAGCGAGAGAGTGAATCCAAAGGAACAGCCCACTAAGCGGGACGATCAGTGGCCGGCGAGAAATCTAACAATTCCGACCGATTAAATTGACTTTCAAAGTACTCAGCTTAATGCTGCAAGCGTTTTGACAAGTTGTGGATAGGTTGTGCACTCTCGTCACGTATAGTTTCACTAACACCAGGTCTTCTGCTGCCCGTTTCCCATATCAGGCGAAACAACTTACGAAGGTTACCAAGGGCAGCGGCCGTTTCCATCTCTGAAGTACAATGGGACCACCAGGATTCGCGGTCCCTCTTCGTACTAGAGCGGATTTTTGCCCGGAGCTCTTTTCGAGTGTCATAGTGTTCGCTTTCAGCCGGAGTATGTCGGCGAGCATCGATAAGTTCCAGAGACTGCGAAGAGACCCATTGTCCATGTTGGCGATTAGACTTACCACATGAGGATTTTCCTGCTGCTAGTAAGGACCAGTGAGCTACAACTACATCCACTGAGCGTTTATCCAACTCGCATGACAGCGTACTTTGATAGGTATTCAGAACAGCTGGTTTTGCCAGTTGGCCGGTGTCAATTCGCTCACAACGTCGTCTTGAGCGTCCGCCAAACCTCATACGTAGGTCAGGACATACAAGTGCATGGTCGGTGTCCACACATGTGCTCCAAATCGAGCGACAGTTTTGGACCCAGCCTCTTCTTCGGTAACTTATCGCAATGTGATTGATTTGCGCCCATAGCTGTTTCGAGGCTGGTGGGCGCCAAGTCACCTTCCGGCAGGTGCTATGTCGGAAATTAGTGCTCACAAGAAATAAGCGAGCATCTTCACACAAATGAAGTAACCGCTCACCGTTATCATTACGGGAGGTTACACCATGTTGGCCGCCCAGATGCAGTTCTTCAGCGGATAATTTTCCAACTTGAGCGTTCAGATCCCCAGCCGGCACAACCGTGTCCGAGCTTCTTCTGTGGAGAAGGAGCTCGTTCAGTTGGCGATAGAAGTCGTCTTTTACCGAATCTTCGCTAGAGTTTGTTGATGCATAGGCAGCGATCACGAATAGACACCTGTTAGTCCCGCGCGACTTCGAAGCTTTGAACGAACCAACCAATCCGACCACACACAACCAGAGTCCCTTCAGTGCTGCCTGTTGACCGATCTGTAGCAATGTGCGTACATTGGGGCATGCCAATCTGAAGGATGATCGAGGGCTCCAAATGGAAGTCTTTGAAGTGGGTTTGACCGCTTGGTTGGACATGGGCTTGTCGACAGGACAGGAATGACGCTCCGCGTTCACATGTAACTAGAAGGAAAAAGCCTATCAAAGCAAGGTGGGAGAGGGCCAAAAATTGGGGGGTTGAAAACAGGTGGGATAAAAGTGAAGCTGGAACGAGACGGTAAGAGAGAAAAAGCGTAAGAAGGGGGATAAGAAAATGGGTAGGCTTGAGCAGTAGCATCCAAACCCCTATCCACCCTGTTCGATGCAGCAGATAGGGCACTGTTGATTATGCTCTGCGGTGGCCAGAGCATCAAGAAATTGTTTGACGAATGATTCATAGTATTGCGTGGGCAGGATACTGTCAGATTGCCCAGGCCTAGACAGGAGAACGATTAGGGTTCTCAACCAAAGCGTTTGGTTCAAAAACATGACCGCAACGCAGCGGGTTTGGCGGTGGGCTACAAGGTGTCCGTTTTAAGGAATAAGGAGCCACCTCATTTCAACCCCCAACCTGGAGCACCAGGATGCTGAGTTTGTCTGGCCTCTAACCATTGACCAATCTGGTGTGAGTGGCTCTGAAGGTGCAAAAAAGCACCACCCAGCATAGTTCAATGGATCGCTGAGGAACACAAACCATCGCACCACGGTAAGTTCCAGCCTCATTGCAGTGCAGAAACGACAGCACCTGCGACTCAATTTAACCACAACAGCGTTCAGAAATTTGTGCACACCGAGAAAGCTACCGACGAACTACATACCGCAGGTGCAAGTGAGACCCAAATCAGATTGCATTCGTATCGAGATTGGGCAAGTCATCCAAAAAACGCTTAGGTATCATCCCCACCGGTTGACACAGATCCATATCCTTCTTATGACTAGTCAAGAGCTTTTGACATACAAGAAGCTTTCCTGTATGTACACTAACGCTGAAGCCTTACTGAGTATATTTTCCGAAATACGGCTTCGTCCGGTATCAATGACCTGTGACATCGCTGCAACGGAGGCATGGTTACGCCCGGATATAAGTAACATCAAGACCGCACTGCCAGACATGTCCGTTGTTTCTGCACGACCTACCCAGCAAAAATGGAGAAGTGGCTCTGTACTTCCGCGTTGATCTCTAATCTGAGCCCATAAAAAATCCAGTCAACTTGGATTCTTTTTGGTGCCTTCCTCGTTTGAAAGATAATAACACCTTCTTCGTGACGGTCATTTACCGCCCTCTCTCCTCCACTCCCGAGATGTGCTTATTTCTGGCAAGCGAACTAAGACGGGTGATAAAGGAGGGTGGCAGTCGCATTCTTATTACCAATACTTTTAACATCCCCACTCTGGAATCCCAAGCCGCTCCTGGAGATCAGTCTAAGGTTTATCTACAAGAGTTAGTCTCCAGTTTCCCGTTGTATGGTCACATGAACACCCACCCGATTCCGAGAAAAAAGTCCTCTCTACTGAATCGGTATTCACCAAAGAAGAACTGATGGTCGAGAAGGTAGTCGTCAATGTCACATTGGGCCACAGCAATCATGCAGTCCTACTCTTCGAATACATTTTCTATGCGGAATATTCCGTGGAAATCGCCGACGTAATGCCAGCGTATCTACGCTATGACATATTAGCTGATCTAGGTGAGATAAGCAATTGGATAGTTTTGACTGACGAGGCACCGTCTAGCGCATGGGAACATTTCGTCTGG